ACGGAGCTGATCTCCCTGTGCTATGTGGCTGCTTCCCACTAGCTATCTGTTTCACATTTGGTAGTATATATAAGTCCATTCCACTCTCTCACTTTGTCCCAGCTTACCCTTCCCCCTCCCCATGTCCTCAAGTCCATTCTCTACATCTGCGTCTTTATTCCTGTCCTGCCCCTAGGTTCTTCAGAACCATTTTTTTTTTTTAGATTCCATACATATGTATTAGCATACAGTATTTGTTTTTCTCTTTCTGACTTACTTCACTCTGTATGACAGACTCGAGTTCCATACACCTCAGTACAAATAACTCAATTTCGTTTCCTTTTATGGCTGAGTAATATTCCATTGTATATATGTGCCACATCTTCTTTATCCATTCATCTGTCGATGGACACTTAGGTTGCTTCCATGTCCTGGCTAATGTAAATAGAGCTGCAATGAACATTGTGGTACATGAATCTTTTTGAATTATAGTTTTCTCAGGGTATATGCCCCATACTGGGATTGCTGGGTCATATGGTAGTTCTATTTTTAGTTCTTTAAGGAACCTCCATACTGTTCCCCATAGTGGCTGTATCAATTTACGTTCCCACAAACAGTGTAAAAAGTTTCCCTTTTCTCCACAGCCTCTCCAGTATTTATTATTTGTAGATTTTTTGATGATGGCCATTCTGACAGGTGTGAAGTGATACCTCATTGTGGTTTTGATTTGCATTTCTCTAATGATCATTGATGCTGAACATCCTTTCATGTGTTTGTTGGCAGTCTGTATATCTTCTTTGGAGAAATGTCTATTTAGGTCTTCTGCCCATTTTTGGATTGGGTTGTTTGTTTTTTGATATTGAGCTGCATGAGCTGCTTGCATATTTTGGATTAATCCTTTTTCAGTTGCTTCATTTGCAAATATTTTCTTCCATGCTCAGGGTTGTCTTTTCATCTTGTTTATGGTTTCCTTTGCTGTGGAAAAGCTTTTAAGTTTCATTAGGTCCCATTTGTTTATGTTTGTTTTTATTTCCATTACTCTAAGAGGTGGGTCAAAAGGGATCTTGCTGTGATTTATGTCATAGAGTATTCTGCCTCTGTTTTCCTCTAAGAGTTTAAAAGTGTCTGGTCTTATATTTAGGTCTTTAATCCATTTTGAGTTGATTTTTGTGTATGGTGTTAGGGAGTGTTCTAATTTCATTCTTTTACATGTAGCTGTCCAGTTTTCCCAGCACCACTTATTGAAGAGGCTGTCTTTTCTCCATTGTATATTCTTGCCTCCTTTACCAAAAATAAGGTGACCATATGTGCGTGGGTTTATCTCTGGGCTTTCTATCCTATTGCATTGATCTATATTTCTGTTTTTGTGCCAGTACCACATTGTCTTGATTACTGTAGCTTTGTAGTATAGTCTGAAGTCTGGGAGCCTGATTCCTCCAGCTCCGTTTTTCTTTGTCAAGATTGCTTTGGCTGTTTGGGGCCTTTTGTGTTTCCATACAAATTGTGAAATTTTTGTTCTAGTTCTGTGAAAAATGCCATTGGTAGTTTGTTAAGGATTGCATTGACTCTGTAGATTGCTTTGGGTAGTGTAGTCATTTTCACAATCTTATTTCTTCCAATCCAAGAACACGGTATATCTCTTCATCTGTTTGTATCATCTTTAATTTCTTTCATCAGTGTCTTATAGTTTTCTGCATACAGGTCTTTTGTCTCCTTAGGTAGGGTTATTCCTAGGTATTTTATTCTTTTTATTGCAATTGTAAATGGGAGTGTTTCCTTGATTTCTCTTTAGCCATTTATTTTAGAGTACTTTTCAAGCTTTGGTAAACACGTGCCCATATCCCCAAAACTCAAGAATGAAAAAACTCATAATTATTTTTTTGAGACTGGGGATATGTACCCTGTAGTGAACTACCTAGTGTTTTTCTCCAGCTTCTACAGCTTTCACATGTTATGGTTTATTCTGATGCTCCATTCAATTGATTTTCAGTGTGTTGTCTAGTAAATTTTCCATGTTTTTTCTTTTTGAAATTAGCTTCACTTCCTCTTTTCATGAAATGGACCATCCCTCTTTAACCAAACCAAACCAAACATTTCAATGAAACCTTCTCAGCTGTCTTTCACTTGCTTTCCTTCAGCCTATTTATTGTTTTTGTTTTTGTTTTTGTTTTGTGGTACGTGGGCCTCTCACTGTTGTGGCCTCTCCCGTTGCGGAGCACAGGCTCCGGACGTGCAGGCTCAGCGGCCATGGCTCACGGGCCCAGCCGCTCCGCGGCATGTGGGATCTTCCCAGACCGGGGCACGAACCTGTGTCCCCTGCAACGGTAGGCAGACTCTCAACCACTGCACCACCAGGGAAGCCCTCCTTCAGCCTATTTAATTTTTTAGCAAGTGGTCCTTATATTTATTACTCCTACTGTAGCCTAAGGATTTAGAGCACTGACTATATGTCACTTGAATTCAATAAAATGAAAATGGAGATAGGGAATTACAGTGTGTTCATCATCAAATTTAAATTATACAGATGAATTCATGTTCAAAATCAACCCTTTGCCCAGCTTCGCTTTCTAAATTAATATGTATTTCTCACTTGCGTTCAGTAGCAGACTGTTCTGTTCCCACCCAGTGTTCCAATGGGTTAGAATTGTTGTTTTCCCCTACTAAGACAACAAATTATGCAATCGCAAATATACCTAAAGTCCATTCTTATTTTTTTGGCTCAACCGAAAATTTTGTATTACACTCACACACACACCACATATACACATTACACGGTCCTCCAGCCCCTCAGCTCAGCTAGAACATGAAACTGTCAATGGAGAGCTGATTGTAAATCTGTTATGCCGAGAATCATTCAAGTCACTTTGATGATATTGAATATCACTCTGCTAGGCAGTAAATGGGAAGCAAAGATGCATAATACATACTTCTAATTCTAAAAGAACTCTTAACAGTTCTTTTCAAGACAAGGCATCTTCATTAGGGAATGAAGCCAAGAGATTTATTGGCTTAGACTGTCTTTATTGAAAAGTGATGGATCCACTTGTTTTGTCGATACAAACCCTAACACAGGGGTCTTCTACTTGAGAACTTCCTATATTTTGAACATACTGTTGCTCTGTAGACTTCACTTGAAATATAAAGAGCTTTGACCAGCCCCTCATGGAGTAGCAAGGCTGCATCTTGCTGTTCAAAAGCTAGAAAATTTTTTTAGTAATGCTTAACTCCCTGGTAGGGAACCTCCTTCCACCATTAACAAACATATTCTGGGAAAATACATAATGAGGGGAATGTATTAATAAAGGGAAGTATGCTGTTGCCGTACTATGGATTTGAAAAATAATAAGTTAGCCATTTCAACACTGTGGGAAGACATTCTGAAATGAGATTTAAGGATGATTAATGCAAAATACAAGTGCTTCCTTTTTAGCATTGCTTATCAGCTGGACTCCTACAGGATTTATGTAAATAACCATTCATTATGCATCAGGTAGTTGTGGGAAGTTATTTGTATTTGTAACTTCAGAGAGTGCTAGTCTTTCTACCAGGACGTCACCTGAATAGTGGGATATGACAATCAAATGGACAGACACATCCAAACAAGTCTCCACTATCAACACTAGTACTTAGTATTTTCTTTCTTTTTTTTTTGTTTTTTTTTTTACGGTACGCGGGCCTCTCACTGTTGTGGCCTCTCCCGTTGTGGAGCACAGGCTCCGGACGCGCAGGCTCAGCGGTCATGGCTTACTGGCCCAGCCGCTCCGCGGCATGTGGGATCTTCCCGGACCAGTGCATGAACCCGTGTCCCCTGCATCGGCAGGCGGACTCTCAACCGCTGCGCCACCAGGGAAAGCCCATACTTAGTATTTTCTTAGTGTTTGAAGTCTATGGACTATATTTGTTACCATGTCACTGTTTGATCTTCAACATAATATGGTAGATAGGTAGTACAGGAAAGTGAGGATTAGAGAGTTTAAGTCTCTTCCTAGATCACAAGACTCTTAAGTAACAGACATTCATTAATTTCACGCACAAAAAATGTGTTGTAACTTTACTGTGCCCAAGGACAATGACAGGCACTGTTTAGGCACTAGAGAAATAGGGAAGAGAGCTCCTGCCTTCTGAAGCCCATTTCATATGTCACATGATGGGGCCTGTGCTCGTGAACTCAGGCCTCCTGGCTCCCCGTTCAGTGCTTACTCTACCAACAGCTTCCATGTGCTATTAAATAGTATCTCCCTTTAAAATATAAAGCACCATGGGAGAGTGCCACATTTAACCTTTATCTACTACTAGGGCTTTCTTATCAATTCGTTGATGAGCTCCTTCCTAAGGAATAGGTGATGAAAGCAGTTCTCTGTGGAAAGATCTATAGAAGAAGTGTACTTTGGGACTGGGGAGGGGTGTAGTGTTAGAGAGGGTATAGAATCAGGGAGATGAGGCCTGGGTAGAATATAAAAGAGGGGAGGGAGTGTTTCTAGAGGGTTAAAATCAGCATTGAGAATATTTTCCATTACTTCATAATTTTACCAAGAACCAAACCAGAAGAACCAATTTAGACCAAGGATAGTAATATAATTCCTTTTTTTTTTTTTGAATTGATGTTTCCTGAACATCTGTCTCAAGCCAGAGACTAGGTTAGGCTCTGAGGATTGATCCAGCAGTGAGCAGTATGCTCATCATCCTTGCCCTCATGGAGTTCACAGGATAGAGGGACATAGTCATTATCAAGCAACAAGAGCTCTGTGCTGCCATGAAAGAAGCTTACACAGCAGGGAGCCCAGTCCAATATGAAGATTGGGGAGTTCTTTGTGTTCAAAGAACTGAATTGGGCCCTAGAACACTGAGCAAAGGATAAGTGTGCAGAGTTATTCTGATGACTGCCCTCACTTAAATCAATAATCAAGGGGTCCCCTCAAAATAGCGTTTTCAGGAAAAAGTTGTAAAATGGTTTGTTTTATGATGAAATTCTCCAGATCCACTGATGTGGCTCGTGTTGGTTACTTGTCTCATCTTCACAGAAAATACATGTCTTCAAGAAGACTTTGCAGGCACTGATCTACCCCATGTCCTCCACCACCCCACACAACTTTGAGGTCTGGACGGCTACGACACCCACCTACTGTTACGAGTGTGAAGGGCTCCTGTGGGGCATTGCCCGGCAAGGCATGAAGTGTTCAGAGTGCGGAGTGAAGTGCCACGAAAAGTGTCAGGACCTCCTGAACGCGGACTGTTTGCAGAGTGAGTATTCGGTTAGGTGAAGAGGCAGGTGTGCAGAGCTGGTCTCACCCTATGCATTTTCAGCTCCTGCTAATTCTCAACAAATCCTACTCACCCCCGGCCTATTCATTCACACAAAGATATACATACTGCCCGCCAAGTCATGTAAATGATTGTGTCTTCCTACACTGTTGACCTTGGCACTTTCAGATTCCTCAGAATAACTACCTGGAGTTCAGTGGCACTCGGACCAAGTAGAAAACTTCACAGTGACTTCCAATCTTTGTTCTCACTTTTATCTCATAATAGCCCCACGTGGTCAGTGGGAACATGTAAAGTCACATTCCTCAAACAGGGGTTAAGACACACCCCTGCGATGACAGCAACTGGAATTCTTTTCCAAGCCTACTTGACACCTGCCTTCTGCAGGCAAGAGCCATGTTCTTTTGCTGTCCCTGTGCAGCCCTTAGAATTGGGAGGTCTTGTATTTGATGTCAAAGACAAATCTAACTTACCAGATAGGTGACCCTGGGCAAGGTTTTCTAACTTTTCAGGGCTTCATTTTCTTCCACCAAATAAATAGGAATAATAAAATGTACCTCAGTGGGTTATTTCGAAAATTAAATGAAATAGTTGCTGCTAAGTGTCTGGCACATAGTAGACGCTCAATGAATATTAATCGCCTCTCCATTCTTTTACATTTCTGAATAGGTACATGTCACTTTGACTTTCATGACAGGTTATCTTAAATTTTCCATTTCCAAAAGAAAATCCTTTATACTGGTACTTTAGATTAGGTCCTGAAATGCCAAAACATCATACTCTAAAATACATATTATTGGCTTTTCACTGCTGGATTTGTCTGCTGACCTTATATAACTAAAAAAGCACTGCTGAACAAATCTATTTAAACATGGATTTTCATTTTCAAATGATTTTTTTTTACCTCTAAATATTGTCCCCTTTGTTCATTCTTTATAGGAATGCAGTCATTGTAAGTACATAGGTTGCCTGAAATTGAGGGAGGACAGAGGAAAATGTCAAAATAAAGATTAAATCAGAAATGCTGGCACAGCTGGCTCTTGCAGTAACAGTCACACATATTGTACACTTTCCTCTACCTGATCAGTATTCTCCCTACACAGTCAGGTCAGCCTAAGACTGTTAATGGTAATGAATGTGTTTTTTGAAACAAAATAGTGCCCCTTCTTAGAAAAATAAAAGGCATATTTAGGAATGAGTGCTTAGAAGAAGGTGGATTGACTCAGTATTACTCAGCCAATTTACTTGCAAAATCTCATAATACAATTAAAATTCAGTCTACCTGTTTAAAAACTGAATTGTGAACAGGCATCTTAAGAAACAGTCACATTAGGGCAGTGACATTTTGAGAAAACAGATAGGAAAAATATTGCCATCTAGAAACAAGTGGCTTGAGTCCCTTAAAGAAAAAAAAATGATGCAGATAATACCTAAGAAATGAGTTCATTCTTCTTTAAGTCTTTCAGAGAAGAGAGATGCCACCCATTCATTAAACTTTAGAAACACTTTCATAGTCTATTTCCATTTCTTGGTATTATTTGGTGTTGGTTAAATACACTAGGCGAGCTTTGTGCTGAAGTTATTCATTAAAATGCCCATGTAAATTGGAAGAATCAAAAACAGTGCAGACAAAATGAGGGTAGACATGTATGCCCCAGGAAAAGGATATTTTCCTGATCATCCCTCCTTATTTTTCCCTAAAACCCGTGTTCTCACCTTGAATGGAAAGAGGTGTTGCTAATACATGAATTCATCTTCACCGCTTGCCACAGTAACTATCAATAAAATTTAAAGTTGTCCCTACAAAATCAGTGACATTTCCTTAAGAAATTTCTCTTTTCATTGCTTTAAGCAAGAAATTTGCAATGTGACACGTTGTGTGAAATACTTCCATGTGCACCAAAATTGAAAGAAAAGGAGAGAATAAAAAATTAAGAGAAATCAGAGTTGGAAAATACAGCTAATACTGGAACTTGTAAGCACAAGGAAGTTCTTTGATTTCCTTCTCCACATGGTCATTCAATTTCTCTTTGAGCATCTACAGAGAAAATTTAACACCTTGGCAGGCGGCTTAATTTATATTAGAAAATTCTAGCTTATAAAATAAAATTTGAACCAACTCTTGCCTTATAGCAGATTCTTTTCGTTAAGCCAAATCTTACCTTTGGAGAAAATATTTAATAAATTGACTTCTATCATATATGACAGTTTTTCAAATACTTGAAGATAATAGTCTTCTTTAGGTTTCTAGAACCCTCATTATTTTGCTAATTTTCTGAAGAAATTGCAGTCTGTCAACGTGCATACACACATACACTCAGAATAAAACAAAAGGAAAAATAAGTCTACATTTGGGTCTGACTAATGACCTGTACAAAATAAAGGGTATTTAAAGTTACTTCAGATTAATTTGAGTTTGGTATTTCAGTCCCATCAAGTCTTGGGTTTGTGACTTACACACTTGCAGTCAAGGGAAATTAGACCAGGTGATAATATCCCACTCAGTGTTCTAGTACCTCTATGCAGGTGCAGAGATGCATAGAAATAGGTTCCACAAACAGCCTCATCTCAGCTCCTGTCTAGCTGATTCTACCTGGTGGTTTCTACACTTCACTGCCTTCCTGGCCTGAGGCTAACAGCCATGTGAAGTGGAAGATAGGAGCAAAGGATAGCAGAGGAAAACATAGCAATGCTTGAGAGAAGAGCACTGATCTGTCATACCCCTCCCTGTTCCAGGCCAGTAGCGGTGGGTAGAGTTCACCTATTTTTCTTGAATTAACTCATTTCTGTCCTGTTATTTGAAAATACATTTACTCTTTTTTGGAGATGGCATTTGGTGATGGAAGAATTGAAACGCAGCTAATGGAGGAGCAGTTTCCGACCCTGAGTGATATTCACGTAACCCATAAGGACCTTGCCAAAACAGTTATGGTGGCAGTTTTAAACTAGGAAAAAGTGAAAAAAAAGTGTATGTTGGCTGGGTTGAGGTTGTATGCAGAGTGAGACACATGTAAAAAGAGAGATCACATATAAAATATTTTCCTTGATTATCTTTTTACAGTAGAAAAGAGATAACTTCAAAATCAGAAAAATATGCAAATAACCATGGAGCCTAACCCAGCTGGCTAGCACTTTCTTACACATCTCCAAAGAAGAAATCCCAGAGTCCCACTGAAAAAATATTCTGCCTAGTTTTAATTCCTAACTGGAAATTTCAAGTATCTGCATAAAGAGAGAAAGTATTTCATCAAGAGTTCAGGAAAGCAGCATCTTGTGAGATGTGCTGTTTTGTTCTGTGTTTCCCACTGACATTATGTTAAGCTTACATGCACTAATTATTAGCCATTGTGAATTCGTAACATTCACAAAATCTGGCTAGTGCACTCCTGGCTGCAAACTAGATACTGATTTTTTTTCATATTTGTGCTACCACATTTGCAACCACACTATCTTTTAAGACGGCCAGTTATTTGTATATGTTGAACAGCTATGGATGGGAGCATTATTCTGGGTTTTCAGATCTAGAAAGAAAGTAATCAGTGTTGTCCCTGGACTCAGACATGTTTTCTAAAACTTAACTCAGGTGAATAGATGTAGTATGTTGGAAACTTTTGACATTCTACTCTGTCAACAGCAATTATACAAAGTATGTTTATGTTATGAGTATACTTAGGAAGCTTAGAAATAGGATTTTGCATGTCTACTGCTATAGGGTGGAGACCAGTCTTTGTTTCCCCATAATTTAGCACACATTTAAGCACAGCTAGCTGCATATTAAGTGTTGGGGAAGCAACAAATGAGGGCATGCGAACACAATTAGAAATAGCATGAAATGGTTTAAAGATCATCTTTCCATAGAACCGTAGATCATTAAGGGAGCCTTTGAGATCAGTAGATTGGAGAACCCAATCTACTGATTTTACTTAGTTCAGACAGTTCAGTATCTTGTCAAAAAGAATCAAATGGTAACATAGGTAGGGTTACAACTAAGGTCTCTGAACTCCCAGCCTAGTGATCTCTCCTAATTTATAAAGAAATATGCAAAGTGGACCCTAGGGGGAAAAATGGAAAGTTGTTAAATTTTATCTCCAGTGCTTCCCCCCTCCCTGTCTTTTAGACATTCTGTGCTGCCCAGACCTTGGCTTCCCAGCGCTCCCGATCATGACTCCTCAAGGCCTCCCTCTATGACCAACCCACCAAGCTTGGGGTATACCCTCAGTCCACCGTCTCCAATCACAACTCACTCACTACACTGACTTTTCAATACTAAAGAGGAAATGATTTGATAAGTTAATTTGGATAAAAGTGGAATCAATAGTTAAGTTAGCTTAGTACAATGGTCAGTTCCTTAACCCAAAGGAATAACCTTATAATGGAGCATTTTGAGGTTTTGGGATAGGGGACTCGGGGCACAAAAAGGGTGAGTATGCCTTACGTAATGTCACAGACATATTCTATGTAACCTAAGCGAAGGCTACCTGTCTGTCTATATACATTTTTTTCATACTCCTGAACTACTTGAGAAAGATCTGGCTTCTAATCCTGTCACTAGTAGAGTTTTTTAAAACCTCTCTGAGCACCATTTTCCATATATGTGAAATTAATAATACCTGTCAATGCCCTCCAGCTAAAGACCACCAGGAACACACCTGTGGTTTTAAAAGTTCAGTTTATTCCCCATCACTTCATGGAGAATGCACACCAGGGTGAACCACAGGGCATCTCAGTAAGAGGGCATTAAAAAAGCAGAGAATTTCTCTTGATCAGGTTTGCCTTGAAGTGAGGACAATTCTGTGATTGTGTACATTAAAAAAAAAAAATCTACGAGGAAAGCAGAGTGAGGCTAGTAGCTGTACTTAGTAAAGAAGCAGTAGTCACTCATATTAGGAGAGGGATGTTTGGTATTTTGTGGTTACACAGTGACCTGGTTTTCATCTGTGCTTAGAAAAAATTATAGAGTGGCCTTGTTTGTCTTGCTT